ATTTATTTATTTATTTCAAATGGCAGGCGTTTTGATAGCTATCATTAGCCCTTTAATTGACTTCGGGTTTCACAGAGGGAAGGTTCATCAAAGTAGCAGAAAGTCGAGGGGTGGGGAACAGAAGAGCGATTCACAGATGTAAAAGAGGCAGACAGACACAAAGGCAGAGAAAATGGTAAGATGAGTATAGTGGAAGGAGTCGAATAGGACAACCAGAGGGGTCGTAGTAGTTTGAAGTCAGAAGTCAACTGCCGGTTAATAGACTTTTTTGCCGTATGGGTATACGTTGGCCAGGGTGCACCACGTGGAGGCAAGTCTATCGCACACCCCAAAGGGGCGTGGTCTAAAAATCTCCTCTCTACTTTGGCTCCGAAGGAAATACATCTGTGGGACACGTTATCTCTTTGTGCGTCATCGCAAGCCTGCATGCTAGGATTGGGAGGTGCGGCCGTACAAACAGTGACCAATCATTAACCTCTGTTTGTTTAACCTAATCAGCCATCCTGATCATGATTAAGCCCCCTACGTGTTCACTTTATCCACAATAAACGTTCGGGTACACTTGATCCGCAATATACGTCCTGAATAAACGTTCTCCGTGCTACACGTCTGTTTCCTTTATAGCTGGGCTATAGCCCAGCTGGTTCTGGGAGTCTAGCTAGATGTAGGAGAATTTGCCACAGAGATTTCGGTGTCAGTCAGGCGTTACTAGCGTAGCAATCCGCTACACATCTAAATCGTTTGTTTAAAGTAGCACAATTAACACTCATTTGACAAACCTTATTGATAGCAGAATAAATCGCTTTATAAAGCTAGACTTTGGAGAAAATGAACTTTAAGTTTTAAGCTTATTTAAATTTGATTCATATTCTTCTTCAATTCAGATATATTGCAGCATAAATGGAAATAGGCTGGAGATATTAGCCAAATAGTTTTCAGAGTTAAAATACTTGTAAATATGAAGGTTAGCTTCATTGTGCTAGAAAATTTTGATTTAATCAACTGTAGTTCATCTTAATAACAAGTGGGAATGAGCTGCAATATGCATAATAATTATTAGTGAGATATAAAGGTGTAGGCATGATGTATGATTTGATATCAATAATTTGATCGCCTATGACTATGTTTAGATTCCCATATTTTATTCAAATCATTGGTTTATTCCATTTGTAAATTTATATTACAGTAAAATATAGCGGATTAGCAAATATTTGGCAATAATAGATATAATAAGTTAAAGTTGTGGATGAACACGTATTGCCATTGAAAAGGACTTAAATCATATGATAAAAAATAGTGATTTAATTTTACTCATAAGAAGGATTGGATTAGCTTATTTGTGATTCTTTAAAATAATTTAAATATATTTGCCAAACAAAACTAAGACATATGAAAATAAATAAATAATTTCCAAATAATGAAAATTTCTTTATTAAACTTATAATTATTTATCAAAACGTCAAATTAAAATAAAATAATTGAAAAATTTATTTAATGCACTGCTACGTAAATTAGAGTCTAGCGCAGCATATGAAAGCAAATCATGACCTTGAATGCTAACGCTTGAAACACGATAATGGATGATGAGCTTGGAACTGAGGTTGAAATATCAATATCCTGCAGGTAAGACCATAAATACTAGCAGCAAAAATTTAAAGAAATCTCGCGGATACTGATGTGTTGTCAAAATCCGATCCAGGTAAATAACTATTTCATTAATATATTTTTTAAAAGTTGTGGTTGTATTTGAGTTTAGTCCAGCCCTTGAGGATTGGAAGGAAATATGGCGATCCGAAACAATTCAAAATAATTTAAATCCAAATTTTTCACGGAAGCTAGTATTACAGTATCACTTTGAGGAGCAGAAGAAATTAAAATTCGCAGTGTAATAATGAATGATTTATTTTTTACGGTTAATTTAGCTACGATGTTGATGATCCGATTGAACCCCTAAGGCATCAAGATTTTTTGGGTTCTTGTGATGCAACTCTAGGTGAAATCGTATCTGTTGGAGTATTGGAAAAGAACTTGACGTAAGACTACTCAAATTAATATTTTTCAATTATTCTAGTGGTGTACCCCAAGGTAACAAAGGATCAATTATTCGTAAGATTAAAATACTATTTAATGGCTTTTCTGTAGTTGTTGCTGAGGAAACAGTCACTTGTAGTGTACGTTGCCTCCTTCTTACTCAATTCTCTCATTTAAGGATGAAGTCACTTTTAGCATAGGTGCCAAAAATCTGGATAAAAAGGATATAATTGGGCTTTCTGACCCTTTTCTTGCTTTTTATCGACTCCATGAGAATGGAAGGTAGGTTTTGCTCATTTCAAGAATAGACAGATTAGCCATGTTGTAGTTATCACTGTTTTTCTTTTACTCTAGTGCCACAGTTGTCCACCGAACGGAAGTAATCAAAAATACCCTCAATCCCTCTTGGAGTACAATGGTCCTACCAGTTCGCCTTCTTTGTAATGGAGATCTTAATCGGTTCGTAATAGTTTTAAATAAAATTATTCAAACCCTTTATATTATCACAATCAACTCTTGAAAAACGAAGGGTTATTATTAATTAGTAAAGATTGAAGAAATATATCATTTATAATAATGAATTTTTAACTGATTTTATTGCTAATTTAGATTATTATTTTGCATGCCATTGAAAACGATTACTTAGCCTTTTAAT